TTTCAATTTTTTATTATATATTATATTTATTAAGCAGCCTTCATTTGTTAATTGGTTTTTTCTTCCTAAATAATTCTGGTTTGCTTGCTCTGGAATTTCTATGCACATTTATTTATGATTATCTGTAATATAAATTTTTATACATTTACATTGAGTTAACATCTATGCAGGAATACACTTAGCCATATAAGTATGTAGACACTCAACTAGCTTCGTTTGGTTTTTGTTTCTCTATACGTGTGCACTAGATATCTAACAGAGGAGATTCAGCACATCTTTGGTTTTGCGACTTAGCTCAGAACTGAGTGGAGGAGCACGGGTAGCTGGCGCCGTTCAGGTGAAACGCAGCAGCGGGTCGGCGCGGCTGGAGCTGGAGCTGTAGCTGGGGTTGGGGCATCTCTGCGACATCGGGAGCTACCGCAACACTGTGGTCTCCGCACATGAAAATTGGCTCTAAAAAGTGTGACATGAATATGAAATATATATATAATATTTGTTAGAGGTCCACTCACCATTTGCATAGAATTGGTGCGCAGCTTTCGCCTTGTGCTGATGTAGGTGGTGCAGGTGTTCACACGATGTAGGTGGAATGCATCTTCCGTTCCTTTGTTAAGTGGCGTGGAAGACACAAAGACAGCAACAACAACAGCAGCAATTAGCAAACATTTATAAGAAAGTCTGGTTAAAATACTTCAAATTAATTTGCTATGAAATTTCATTAGTTCTGTGCCTACGCATGCAATTGATGGATCGTTCTGTGCGCTGAGAGTGTGCAACATGCGTTAAGATTTGCCTGGGAAGAAGGAGAAGTTAAGGAACTAGCTACTCAGAACAGGAACTAGCTAACGAACTATGCCGAGTTCTTGTTATCGTATAGCCTTGTAGATGGGGCAATTGATTATAGAGTAGTGATAGGAGAGAGTAAAAATAGAGAGCGAAGAGAATTGATAAGAATTAATGAACATATTGTGTGTGTTGTATTGTGCTTTATAAACCATTGAGCTAACTCACATTTATGTAATTTATAATAAAAATATTTCATTTAGGCAAAATAGTATAAATAAACTTTGAAAAAAATAAATATTATATGATAGCTCGTGCATAACAAGTTTGTAAATTCTTCGGCAAAGATTATAACAGTATATGTTAATAAAAGATACAGAAACAAAATCTCGATAACTTCGATAACAAATTCGTGTAAATAAAGACTTTCTTATTGAATTCTTGATAAGAAAATTTGTTCTTTATAACGAAAGCAGATTAGAGCTCTTATAAAATATTTCCAGCTTGAGCTAGAGTTCAACATTGTCTACAAGGATATACCCACTTCGGCTAGCCAAAGTTTAATTTATAGATAAAATTGTTTGATTTTTTCTCTCTGGCATATTAACGTCAAGACAAATAGATTTGTACAGAAATAATTAGAGTTGTAGAGAATTAGAGAAGGGAGGTGGCACCTAATGCGTATTTTAGGTTTCCTTACTAGACCATCGCCATTTCGGCGATTGTATTTGAAGGTCATCTCACCGGTAGCTTCATAGCTGCGCTCGCCGCGACTGCGCAGATAGCGGTGCAGGCAGCAGCAGCGCCGCAGTCCCGGCACGCGGTACATGATCTGTAGGAAGCCGCCGCGGAAGCGGGCGTTCATATAGCAATAGATGATGGGATTGTAGCAGCTGTGCGACATGGCCAGCCAGTGGAAGGCGAACCAGACGTAGGGCAATGGCTTCCAGTTGGCAAATTCCTCGTCGTTAAGCATTAGCTGCAAAAGTAAGTGAGAGAAAGAGAGAGAGAAAGAGAGAGGGAGAGAGAGAGAGAGAGAGGGAGAGATTCAGATTCAGGCAATTTAACTTAGATTTGTTCGCCTTGCGGCTAATTTGCTGTCAGAGCAACCACCACAGGTTACCCACCTGTAGTATGTTGAAGGGCAGCCAGCAGCTTGTGAATACAATTACAACCGTCAGCATCATTTTAATCATCTGTAAGAGAAGAGCATAGAGGGAATTAGAGTGAGCGGCAATAAAATCCGTATTTTTTATGTTGAGGATGAACGAAGCTCCTGCTGCCCCAAAGGATGCTTTGACATTAGCTGCGGTTCAAAGTTCATGCACCCACCGCCCCACTGCCACAGCCACAGCCCCTTTGTCTTTGCACACCATTTACGAGGCAACTTCAGATTGTGGCCACAATGTCTGTACGGCCGGCTACACGTGTGTGGCAGCATGGCGTCTGTCCATTAAAACGGGGTCAACGCCTAACCTGATTTATGCGCAACGGAAGCACAGGCCAGACATGCGGCCAATTTATCAGCGGCAGCGTCTACAACTTTAATCCACTGCGTACCACACGTGGCTTAAAGAGTTGCCCCCGGCCGCAGCAGCACCAGCGTGCGGTCTGACTTAATAGGAGGCAAATGGGTGGCTCGCCTGGAGCTATGGACTTTTCTAATTATGAGCACATAAAGAAGTTGAACGAAGCGCAGCTGATTTCGGTTTAATAAAAGTTAAATAAACACTAAATCAAGCACGGACCACTAGTGCCTGCTAAAGTGTCTCTGTATCTGCGTAGCTTTTGGCCAATAAAAGCAATTTTAATGCGATATTTCATTAGGTAGTTGGTTGACTTTATACTCTCCACTCCGTAAAATGATGAGCCATTAAATGGTTAAACGGTTCACGCCCAAGTTACGCCGTGAACGTGAATTCGCCCTGAACTTGGGTTAATAGCCTCGCACGGCTGGCTGCCCACTCTTTGGCCAGCTAGAAGCTGACCTTTGCCCTGCTTCAATGCGAGCTTCGATGCGCTTGATTAACAACCCGTAACTCAAAGCGCCCTAGATTTTTCTGTGCTTTGCTTTCGCTCTCTCAATTCTTTTCAACGCAAAGTAGTTGTTGAATTTCTCGAAGACTGTCAACTCAAAGCAAAGTTTCAGATCTGCAAGTCCTTGAACTTGCTTAAATAAGCCAAAAACTTTCTTATCTAGAGTATATTCCATTTGTTTTATTATTAATGCTACATTTGAAGTTTATTTAAAAGTTTATATATTTTTAGTAGCAGCTGTATTCATTTATTCTTTTTGATCAAAATTATTATTATTACTATTATTATTTTTTTCAAAAATTGCAGTTCAAATATTTGTAATGATAGATCTGCCATTCTAGTCGCTTTAAATTTGATTCTATGCCTTTCAATGTTTTTGTTTAATATAAGAATATAAAACATTTTGAAATTAGAAGCATTTTTATTATTAATTCAAGTTTCGTTTTACTAAAATTGCATTATATTTTGTTGATATTAATTTAAGTATTAATATTATTATTTATTTATTTATGTTTATTTTTGAATTATTATTTGTTTAACAACTAAAATAAAAATTACATTTTTTAAATATAAAATAAAACTTTAAACGATTGTGATTGTCATATTTATTGAACTATGAGTTAAAAAAATATTTGAAGTTATTTTGTTTATCAAATTTCATCAGGTAAAGCTTTACAGCTACTGGACCCCTATGTGAAACACATCTAAATTTATCAAACCTTCTGTTTAGCTTTGACAGCGTAAGGTAAATTCGTGTTTCATGTCATTTGGCCATTTCCTTCTCTCTGCTTGCTGCAATCAAGTTTGAAGTATCAAAGTCCCTTCACTCACTCAGTCAACTCGTTATTACTCACTAATTCGCTTTGGCTAATAGAACACTTAAGTGTTCTTAGCCAATTTTGGCCTTCAACTAATTTCCATTTTTGCAAAGTGCACAAACTTTCGGCCCAAATGGCAGATGATGTAATAAGCCACGTCGGACTATAACAGCTCGTTTCAGCTCAGCTCAGTTCAGTTCAGTTCAGTTCAGTTTTATGATGTGCTCATCATGTGGGGCACATTACACGCGTGTGTGTGTGTGTGTGTCGGGCCTGGCACGACATGGCTGTTAAAGCATATTTGCCAATCAGCTGGCAACAGTTGCAACCGAATGTGGCTGCCACCGAAATAGCACAGGCGAAGCGCGTGTCAAGCTAAACGGCAATAATCGATTCATATGCGAGATTCAATTGAATTCAGATGCTGCCCGAATGGCGCACTAAATGTTTATCGCATAATTCCGGCGAATATTGTGGCCATATTTACATATGTAACTTGCTAACTGTTTTTTTTTTTTTGCACCAGCAGCAACATATGGGCCACGTTAACAGATGAATAAAAACTCTAAAGCCAAATGTTGCCAGAGTCAAGAGTTCATTTGTAATTTGAGCAGATTATTACACTGTTCACATTAAGCGGGCTAACAAAGAGTATTATATATGATGATTATGTAAGAGCCAGCTGAAGGGATATTATTAAGAGCATTTGCTTCATACATATATGTTTGAATATGGTACAGTAAATTATATCTTATATAAGTTATTTGAGAGGAAAAGTCGTAATCTATATGTATCCAATAAATTTAGCGGAATATTTTTATATTTTGAAAATTCATAAATATTTATATTGTTTCAAAGTAACTCTTATCAAGCATAATATATTTATAAAGAATTTATATAGTTATAAAGAATTTTCCATCGCCTTTATATACATATGTATGAGCTCAGCTAAGAAATAATCATTGGAGCGCAGATTTGGAGAGACAAGAGCTGTTTTGAATCTAGTCTCTAGAGCTCTGTTGTTCAGTGAGATCTAAGATTGTAGGAATCAGTAGATACATCATTATGAAGTCGTAAGGCCATTAAATCGTAAGTTAGGGATACGTAATCTACCCTTAGACAGATCATGTTTTATTCGGATTTTGTTCAAGTGAAGTATCTGTACTTTTACTGGATTATTGGGGAATCCAATTAATTATCGTTTTTTTTTTTTTCACTCTTTGCGTAAGACTGAATCACATTTCATGACGGAATTCATAGGTTTATATTTAATTAGCTGTTAAGCTTTTGATAGAGTTCGCATTGACTATTATTGCACGCATGTGATAAACGAATCCTTGGCTGTGCCTTGCGGTGCATTTACCGTTGCGTGCGCAATGCCAACATGAATCATACGCCACATTGTACAGACACACACACACATATGCGCATATGGATACAACCACTGCTGTTGCCTGGGCAACTGCGGCAAGCATGTAAATACAATGAGGTTGAACTATTGTATAAATACCTATCAATAGCAATTGGCAGCCGTAGGGCTCGTGACGGCCTAGCAATGGGCTCACAGCTGAGACGAATTTAATAGTTGAGTGTGGCAAATTGTGCTTAATGAAAATATAATCATGCAACGCCCGGTGGCAGGTTAGTTATTTGCTGCAAGGCTTGGCTAACACGCTCTGTGGAATGTCTAGCTGGCTTTTTGACACATTAAGATAATTTGCTTCAGATTTACTTTTGGCAGCCGCTTTATTGTCAGCAGCTGCAACAGCAACAGCAGCAGCAGCAGATCGCATCAACTATTTGACACTTTGACTTTTAGCGCGGTCACGTGAACCGGTTACGTTTTGGGTTTACGTTTACGGTTACGGTTATGTTTACGTTTATGCTCAAAGTTGGCCATTGGGTCCAGCCATAAAGCTAAATGCCGCGTCTGGCGCTTACATAAAAAATAAGTTCATTTGCTGCATGCTGTAATTCATTAAAAATGCGCCCGATATACGCGAGACTGACACTCGAACTAGAGGGAGAGAGGGAGATAGACAGATAGAGAGAGAGACCAGAGGTCAGACTGACAAATGACTGAGAATTGGGCAAATGTTAACTGAAAATCTGAGACTGATTTTGATGCGATGCGAAGACCCAAAACTTTGCTGTCCAAATTTTTTTGCTAATTAAATTTCTTGGCACGTCGCAGAGCTGTAAATAGACTCGACATCTCATGCCGGGCTGGCCATGCAGCTTTTTGTTTTGTTTAATTAATGTGTTGAGTGACTGACGGCTGCCCAGCTTGATTGATATTTAAGTGTTTGGCAATTTGATTATGGGACCCTAAGTGTGCACTCTACCAAAGGAGATGAGAGGTTTTTACTTAGTTAAGTTCTAAATGGTTTTATAGAGTTTTTCTTCATTGTTAGTTGTATTATTATGGAATTTTGATAAGACATTTCTGGCAATTCTGGTTCTGCTATCTGCTTCAGTCTATGACAGCCTAATCGAACCCATGTCTCCTTCTCCTTCATTGCATAACAGTATAAACTGAAATGTTGCTGACATTTCAACTTTTGCCAGAGGATATATATGGCTATTAGTTGAAATTGGATTTTGTTTAAAACTAGTCTATATTTGATTATATTTCTTATAAAACAAATGAAAAGAAGAAAAACGGTAAAGTGTTGGGTCTATTTTGCCATGACGGTAGCTATCACCATATGCTTCAGGTTTTAAATATCTATCTAGTGGCCAAATGGTTTGCGCTCATGCGGATAGATGGACGAGAGAGACGCACGATTAGGCATATATACAGACGGACGGAGACATGGGCAGATGCTTACGGACGGCTGGACAGACGGAAGGATAGACGCACGAATAGAGAGATGGACGGATAGCCGTATGGAACAACTGACACACGGACGAATAGACAAATGGATAAAGGGACAAGTAAATGGACTAATAGACAGACTTATAGACAGACGAATGGGCACACAAATAGATCTCGGCAGACCTTGCACAAAACCAATGTACTAATTCCACATCGTGAACAAGCATCGAGCTATACATTCTTCCACTTAGAAAAAAGTTTCTGCCAGCAAGTTTAGCTGCTCTGCCCAACTTAAGCAACTGTAAGCTCTACGCTAAGCCTGTTAAATCATACAAATTGAAGGCGGTACACAGCCAACGGGTGTGATACATAACTCATGTATGTGGGCTGGGAATCTGAGGTAATCAACGGATAAATGTCAAATGCTATGACGAAACATAAGCAATAGGCCGAAACTTTCGTCTGTTGATTGACCGAAAAACAAAACAGTTTCAAATGATTTCATTATTACTATTTTTGTACT